ACAAATAATAATCAACTCCGTGACAAGGACCTCGAACCCCCTCCAGCTATGGCATGATCCAGGTTCTGAGTTCAGGGTTGTGACTCATCATCTTCCGAGAAGATATTTCCACTTTACATGTAAAACTTCATCTCACAAATAAATTAGATGGATTTCACATTCCTCTCAGTATCAATGCCTAAATTGTTATTATCTAGTTTCTCCTAAAAAAAATCTTATTAATTCTCAAGTTACTGAACTATTTAGTTAAAAAGACATAGAGACAGAGGTATCCCATTTCCAAGAATACCCTATCTTTTAGAGGGCAGTCACTTTTCTGGGTTTGTGAAAGATACATAATCTTGTCTTTTCACAGAGGAAAAAGCTGATGCCAGCTTTCTGTACAGACAAGTCTTCAGACAAAAGGGGAAAAGGGTGGCAGTCATCTGTTTTCTGGCACTGCCAAATTAGTGTTTTGGGTTGTTTGTTTTAGATTTTTTTAAAAAATTCAATTGGGTTTGGGCCTTGTGGGTGAGATAGGCCTCCCTTTTGCAAAGCCCATGAGGGCTTAAGCAGAATCACAATGCCTGACTGCTCTGTGCTACTTTTGACTTGTCTGCACAGATAAGTGTATAGAAACAGGGATGAAGGTGCCTTTGGGACTTCTCTGCTGTGTGTACATAAATGTAATGCTTTTGAAATTTGCAGCAGTTTTGACCATGAGTATTTTGAATCCAGCCTGTACCCTATAAACTTGTGTTAACAAAATGAACAAGCAAAATACTTTCAATGCTTTCAGTTAAATTAGCACCTTCAGAAAGAGAGTTCATGCATGAAATGATGAGTGATTGAAACTGGAGGAAGCTAAATGAAGACATTTAATGTATGATTATTCACTTAAATGGTTATATTATCATACTTAGAAATATGGCAAATCCCAGTTTAATTTTTGGTGTTGTGAATCCTGAACCACTGTGCTCAATATTAAATGTTGATCATACTAAGCCATTAAACTCTCTATGTACATGCAACACTGTACGTTTTTGCTTCTGTATTTTAGGTTTTTCCAAACACTTTGTGGTATATCTAGGTCTAAAAAAATAAAATTCCAGCCAGTAAACACAGTAGATAGCTGTGTTTAGTTTTTAAGACCCGTGAGAGATTATAAGTATACTGTCATTGAGTTTTGTGTCCCATTGTTTCCACGTGGATGAGCAGTGCAAATAACAACCATGCTGTCACACTATAGTCTTATTATCTGGAGTGATCTTCTCTGCTTGGATATTATGCCATAATCTAGTTCTTTTCCAATACTTCTCACCTGTCTTTGTCTCTACTTCAGACTGCAAGATTTCTCTGGTAAATATTGCTTGTTGATGGATATATGATAGTTTGACGGATATATGAGCTTCTTGTGTGTTTTAAATACCTCAGAAATATAAACAAAAATAGTACTCCTGTTTTATTTTTACTTCATGGGAAGAGATTTATTTCACATATGTGAAAAAGTCCTCCTCCTGGTATTTCAGATAATTCTAACAGTAACTCAGTGATAAAGCTGACAGTGACTCCTGGAGGCCACCTGCTTAGCCCGAAGTTTGAAGCAGGGCCAACTTTGTGGCTAAAACTGGTTGCTCAGGGGCTCATCTAGCAGTGTAGTAAGTATCTCCAAGGATGGAGATTCCACAGGCTCTGTGGCACCTCTTCCAGTGCCCGCCCACTTCTTTCACAACAATTATTTCCCCTGCCTTCTGTTATAATATATGCCTTGTATTTTCTACAACTCTATTCCCCTTGTGCCACCTTCCAAGTCCTGTTATCTGACATTTCAGTTTCTTACAAGAGGACTTCTCCACAGCACAGATACCTTGTTTATGTTGTTTTGGTAAGAAAATGTCAGTTGCAGGCTCTGTTATTGCTGTTTCCTTTTTCAGCACTGGAAACTGGAGACTTCTAAGACCTCTGTGTGTATGTAAGAAAGTATTTCTCAGAAGTCCATGTTCCTTGCTCGGATGTCTTGAAATGCTCTGAAGACTTAAGGTCCAAACCAGATTTTCTCTAAACATGTAGCTTGCTACAGGACATGCAGGCTGCTCTTACCATGTCTGGACAGGTCTACAAAACATGCAAGAGGTCTTGACTAATGGTGGTGTCTTGATGCTGTTTATTCTTTTTCTTTTTCATTTCTTACTTCAGCTTTTAAATTCCATAATGCTAAAAATGGAAGAAAAAAAATCACATCTGTGACCTTCTCCAGTTATTTAAGTAGTGTCAGTTCCAATTTTCCATTTTTTACATATTTATTCATGATAATGTCTGAATGGGCACTATTTTAATTTATTTCTCTTAGAATTATTTCCTTTATAGTTAACGCTACCTAATTAACACGCTCATCTGAATATACAGAAATCTGACAATCATAATCTTTAGGTCATAATGGGAAATGTATTTGTACACCTGCAAAACACTGAATTAAGATGTTAACCATTCATTAACCATTCTTTTCCTCTGCTTTCTGTTATCTCTGGGAATGGGTGTAGGTTTTGTCCTCACCAGAACTTTTTTGTCTCACTATGATGCAAGCTTTATTTAAAAATAATCTCACTATATTTTCAGAGAGTCACTATACTTTTAGTTTTTTTCCCAATTCCCTTTGTTTGCATTTGTTGATTTTTTTTCCCATCTGCACAGAAATAAGGTGTAGAAAATCCCTCTCCTTTCCTCTCTCTATGTATAACACATACAATACATCTATCATATTTGTAGAGGCTCACTTGTATAGGCTGAATATTTGTGTGGTATCTCTCAGTGATGTAGTAAAGGTTCTTGAGAGGGGAGGGTTTGTATTACGCTTCATAAAAAGACAAGCACTGCAATATTGCTCTATATTCATTTATCCATGCTGTGGATGTTCAGAATGTGGAGGAACATCTCTGTGGACCTTGGATTTGATAGAGGTCACTCAGTCTAGAAAGCTGTTGTCAGTATGCTTTGGAAGTCATGGCTCAAAGCTATTCTTCTCTAGCAGAAACAATTCAGTTTGTTCACATGTGTGAACAGCATGTTCTAATAAGTTCTCAGGAATCATTGATTTGTAGATGGCTCCTGTGACCATCCTTTGAAGCAACTTGTAAAGTATTATAGTCTACTTTCTTTTCAGCAGGAATGATTTGAGTCTAGCAAAAAGTGTGCCTTCATTTTTCCCCCTTGAAATAAGTGGTGAGCACAAAGCCAAAATTTTAACATTTCAGACACAACAGAAGGTCTCTGTTTTCCAGCAACCAAGAGTTTGAGTTGTAGTATAGAATTACTTTCCTAGTGTGCATTGTGATGGTAAATACTTTGTGAATCATTCTTCTGGCTTCTAGTTGGCTTCTAGTTCTCAGTTGTGCTGAGCTTCACAACACCCAGATATAAACTATCCAGGGATACATTCTTAGAACCTTAAATCTCTGTAGAAATAATAAAATCTGAAAAAAATAAATTTTATATAAAATTATTAGAATTATTTATAAGAGAAAACAGGTATTTATGACCAATAATCAGCATTTGGGTACTAAAAATACTTCCAGTGCAACTATGTGGATTGCAAGAAAGTCCAAATTGCACTTTGGTCTGTACCTTTTCTCGGTATTGTCACAGCAGCACTAATTTTCACTGCCACAATCTGGGTGTCTCCAGGACTGTCCTGCAGTTTTTGATAGAAGTTTGAGATCAGCATCTGCCTTTACCTCACCTTAATGACAGTAATGACTCCATGTCTGGAGAAACTTGTATTTGTGTGATAGCTTTTGTCCTGCCTAGTGACTGAAGCATAGATGGGGGATGGAAGCAGAAATAAGTGTGGAGGAATCATAGCTGTAACCTGCTGGCATGCAGATCTGTGGTGAATTTTGCTGCAAAGTTCAAGGGTTAGGTGATGGGGAGAGAGAGAGATGCCAAAGTATTTTTGGTGTTTCTGTCAAAAAATACCATGGAGGTATAAGAAAACTGAGTTCAGGTGGTTTCCAAGAACACATCGAGAGAACTCCACTAAGGTCAAGTACTTAAAAATAATCCCAGATGGTGGGGAAGGGACATTTCCTCATTCCTGAAATCAGAAATGTCAGCACTAACTTGCAATCTTTATTCTCTTTGTGGCTGCATGGACCAAGATACAGCTCCCTACTCTGCAGTACTATTATGGCATGTAAGAGCAGCCTCTGCTTTCAAAATGAGCATAAGCCATCTTCTCAAATACATTTATTTTATTCATGTCCCAAGTATATATTTAAAGGAAAATATATTCTTCATCCTCTGCCTTCCATATCTATTCACACCTCAGATATGCACCAATACAGAAAGAGATGATGCATGTAAAAAAGCAATATTTAGAAAATGATAACCAGTTAAAATTGTACAACATATAATAGTTTCCAACCAGTTTGAGCAAGCCCAAATAAGCAGGCAACAGAGGTAAAATTAGAGGCACTAGAGAGCCCAGTGACATGGATAATGTGAAGAAGTGAATGTGGCTTGCAATGAAAAAGAATCCCTGTGAGCATCTACTATTAACTGTAAGCCATGAAAGGTTGCTGGCAACAATACTTTGGGGAATAATGGCCACTTAATTTCCATGGTTTTCTACTCCATTTCTCCCCAAATGTTGTCATTAAATAAAAACTCTTTCAAAAAGCCATTACACCTAATGTATGTTCAGAACTATTTCTGAAACTATCTGTTGTCCCTGTTCTGATTTCAGTGGTCGGGTATCCACACCAAAATCACTGCTATTTTAATTGGCGTACAATGACAGTCTTTTGGTGCTCTTCAGAGAAACTTATGGAAAGTTAATTTCCCTCTCAACACTGTACTTCATCCAAGAGACAATTTTAAGTAATTTATAAGAGCAGGTCTTACAAAGTCTTTCAGGATAGATGATCAAGCAGTCCTGCAGAAACTAACTTGTTTGTGAGGTGTCCGAGTGAGCAATGCAACTGGCAGTGGGTTGTGACCTGAGCTCTGTTTATTTGTCTATGCAGAGTTGTTTTGGAACTGCTCCCTATAAAGAAAGCATCTGACACAGAGGGCCCAGAGGAAAATCCACCAAGTCACAGCTGGACCATACTGGCAGTGAAGATTCCTTGGAGAAGGTTATACATTTCATCTGTTCTTTGCAAAGGGAACTTGAATTTCTAGGGGTGATACTCTGGATGGTCCCTGCCTCTTGTGCACAATGATATTTCCAGAGTTCATCACACATCAATACTTAGAGTCAGTTCAATGAAGGCCAAGACCAAATTAAATGCAATAAAAGGTGTGAAAATTATGTATGACAAATATATTAATAAATTAATTTCAGGGTAGCATATCTGAGGAACTGGGTATTTCTGCTCCTGAGGCAAGCAACCATTTCCCCACTGCCTAGGGAGGGAGTCTCATTCTGTGCCTGGCTGTAAGCAGCCTCCCTGTCAGTCCTGGTCACTTGAAGCCATGATTTTGTCACTGATATTCACGTGCCATGCTAGGAAGCTGTTGTTTTGCATATGCCTACAGCAAACCCCCTTCATGACATTAGCTCAAATGCTATCACAAATACACTGCTTGGTTTTGCTTCAAGTTGCACAGCAGGATAAAGAATGAAAATTCAGAAGAAGATAGGAATTTTATCAGTGATGCAGTTGATGAAATTTGTCGCAGATGTTCCTGTCACAGACATATATGCTTCCATCAATTTGCATATAGTATGGAAAGATAAAACTCATTAGATGTCAGCACTGTAGGTCTTCAGGACTGATTCTAAATACAAGTAGCCCTCCAAAATAAAAAAATAGTGCAAAAGGTAAAGAAAAACAAACAGTGAAAATAACTGTAAGCTAATAATAATTTCTGTAGAATGTAACACATAAAGACATGTAGCAGTGTTTGCTAGCTCCTAAAAGAGTAGCTTTGTAGAGTTAACAGTTCATTAAAATGAGAATAGCAGGGAACCTGAGATATTTTGCTGATTCATGAACTCTGCAGACACAAATGCTGGTAGAGTAGTTATTCAATGAGCTTCCATTACATTAACAGAACTGTTCTGGGTATTACTACTAGAAAAAACAACCTATAGAATCAAGTACTTAGAATATGATTTTCAAATTGCTCTCCTTTTTGCATTTGCATCGATGTTTTGCATTTGTTTGAAGCTTGCATCTGCTTCCAAACAATAAGCACTAATTTTAAACCTGTTTAGTACTCATTTAACCCAGATAGTTCTTTTGTGGCCATTTCACATGCATCTGGGATTCAGTGCAAAGAGGTTGCATGGAACAAAATGAGAGGAAAATGCTACTAACCAGCAGCTGCAAGAAAGGGCCAAAAGGAAAAAAAAAAGTAGAAATACTATACGAATATGCTACCATTATGACTTGAGAAGCAGGCACACAGATAGTGACCCTGTGATTATGTTAGGTAGAGGCTGCTGTGGATGATGAGTGGCTACTGGGAAACCTAAGCTTGATTTGTATGAGAGATATTTTCACTGATTCAATGGATCTTTGATATGCTTTAGGTAATTTGCACTACTTACATGTCAGCTGAGGTCAATGAAGCTTGCCAGAGCTTTATACTCAGACATCCTATGGAATAGAATGTCACCTAATGTAAACTAGCAGAACTAGGAGTCTGTTTCCTGCAACAATTAAAGCATCCACTGGCAGGGTGGTGAGGTACTGAAACAAGTTGTCCAGAGATGCCCCATCCCTGGGACCTGTTCAAGGCTGGTCTGGACGGGGCTTTGAGCACCCTGATGTCCCTGCCTACAGCAGGGAGTTTGAAAGTAGATGATATTTAAGGTGCCTTCCAACCTAGGCCATTCTCTGATTCCATGATTCCACCATCCAGTGAAACATCTAGCTCACCACTGACCAAGGCTATAGTCACTTTTGATATTTGTAGTCATAAACCCCAAAGCTAATGAGGATTGAATGGCTGAATACATGTAACCTGGATACACCATGGCCCATATGCAGCTTTCATTTAATCAGAATAAATTAGCTGGAAGTCAGTGGCATGACCCAGTAAAAAATCCACTGAAGTTAAGGATGGATGTGTTCAGTTATACTCTATTAGGCAATAGTCATGGGTGAGAGAAGAGCTGTTCCCTCTGTTTAACCACCTGTAACATAATGCAGCCATGCAAAATACCTGTGATCCAAACTGAGAGCGGTACAAGAATGGACACTCTATCCATTTTAATCTACTACAGAAGCTTTTGTCTGCATTGTGTCAGTGTTAATGGGGCTGTGCTTCTCAGCCTGACACAGTGGTTGTGTCCCTGGATCAGCACCTATTGTAAGGTGAGCTCTTGCAATCTGCCACCTCTGCTCCCACTGGATTTCTTGTTATGTTCATTGTAAAGAGGCTCAACACATTACAGTGTGACAGACATCTGAAACAGGTCACAGTGCCAAATGTCACATCATCTGAAGTTCCATTTCAAGGCAATGAGAGGACCATGTTATCTGCTTCTGTTTACTGTTCACCACTTGTGAAATTCATAGGAAAATAGTAATGACAGAAATGTTCTTGTATATCTGATTTTCCTTTAACGTGTCTGCAAACGTGGTTCATAAGGTATCTATTTTTATTCCAGGATATTATGTTAATCTTAACATTATCTTAGCATATTGAGCTGATCTTGCTCTGACTTAGTTAAAAAAACAGGGTAAATCTTTAGAAAAGAACACATGTTTCTATATCAAGAAGTCTCTCCTTGCTGTACAGTGGGAAACTGAAATAAAAGATTATGTTTTCAAAGTAGTGTGTGTAGAAGTGTGACTTCAAAGTTTCATTCTTAAGCAGTTATTGTTCCTCCTGAGATCAGTGAAGATTTACAGGAGTTCAGCATGTTTGATGCAGTTCTCTTGTTTTATGCCACTGAGAAATGCACAATTTTAATTTAAAAACTACCTTTTTGGAAACTTAGACTTGAATTAATTCCTCATTTTTTAATTATGAAGAAAATATCTATATACAACAAATACAACCTTTTGCATCTTAGAGGATGGATAAAACAAACAGTTCAAAGAATAAGTAAAAAACACCAGATTTTTTTAAGGACCTGAATTTTCTGTCTGTACAATTTAATGCAGAAAAAATAGGTCTCAAAATAAAAGCAGACCATCAGCTGCCGCTCCTTCACCCAAGGCTTGCACTTATTACTGGATCAAAAACATGAAAACTTTTAATGGAACGCTAGCCAATACAACACATATAATTGAATAACCTTGAGAGGAAAGATTGGGGATTTAAGAGAGAAGATCAATTTAAAATCACTTAATGGATGGAGGCATTTAAAATTACTGAGCATTTAAAATAGACTGAGGAAGGTGAAAGGTGCTATGCAATAATTGCTTCCATCCTCTGGAGACAGTGTCTTAAGATGTAAATGAAAGTCCATATTTCATTAATTTATTGTATGAGAACTATACCATCACCAAAGAAAAGAAAATTGTGAGACAAAGAAAAAATAATTTCTGAACCCTGTAAAGACCACCTCAGCTAAGGTTTGATTCAGTGTCCACTGCAGCCTATGGAAGATTTTATTCACATTGAAAGACTTCAGTGGACTTCAGTAAGCCTTGCATGAGGCCTTTTATGATGGTATAATTTTACAGGAGAGAAATAAATTGTTATAAAAGATACATCAGCTCCTGAACCTCAAGTCAGTAGCACTCCTGGACAGAAGCAGGCACTTTGAAATGAACACATTTGTTCATATAAAAAAAAAAAATCTTGGAAGTGAACAGATTTCAAGGGGCTCTTTAAACTCTTTGGGGGACATGGATACATGGCCTACTTCATCCATCACGTGCTCTACAATGTGCACTTACATTTTAAGACTTGGAACATCTGTGGGTCAGTAGATTACAAATCCAATAACACCTTTTTCTATGCAGCTGCATAAATGTATATGTGTCACCCTAAGAATCAGACCTTTTGTTATTGTTTTCATAATTTCTAGCCACTTTCCCAGGAAGGTAACAATAAACATAGGTGTTTATACATTCCATTAAAGATATGCCTTTTGATGGATGTCTCTCACAGACAGTGTGGTTGGAAAGGTGGTGACCTGAATATCCAACCCCTGGTCGTTGTCAAAAACCTATAAATACTGAAAGAACAAATAAACTTCTTTTCTTTTTTCACCACACTTCGAGCTGCATCCATGTGAATCATTTAGTGTCCGACAGTGACATATATGTGCTGGCTGCTCTGTCATGGATTTGACATTTTTGTCCCTAGAAGGCAGTCTTGGACACATAGTGATCTCAGTAAGTGTGGGCAGTCATGTTTAAGTGTGGTTCTTCCAAGCTGTGGGTACTTATGGTTGTTTGGGATTGTGTTAAGGATGGCACAAGTCCAACTCTATATGCCCTGAGTTCATACAAATTCCCAATGTAAAAGCATCAAAAGATCAAAGCTTAGGAATTACTGGCTTCCATGAAGAACTGAACATACTCTTAAAATTTATATAAAGAGCTTCCAAGAAGAAGTAGGAATCAGTCTTTGGCAGAAATGGTTCTCAAGGATGAAGACATTTGAGGGGCAGCAAACACAGTTTGGGGCAGTTTCTTGCATGGGGTGCATTTAGTCTGCTACAAACAAACAGAAGAACTCTGTAAATAGCTCTGTGTGACTAGCACATATTACACTTTTCAGCAGATAGAAGCTAAACAACATACCGATCATCTTCTAACACATCTAAAAGTACTACATCAAAGTCCTAATCCTTCTTTTCCTTTGTGTGTTTTCTGTTTACTTCATGAGTCACTTTTTGCCTGGTGACTAACTCCTGACAGGAGAAAAAACAAATCACATATAACCCAAGGATGTTTTCTTAGAAAGAAACTTTAGAGTAGAAAATTCTCTTAAATGCTTGTCATCTAATATCTGCTGCCCTTGCCAGACACCGAAGAAACAAGTTTACAGAGTGGAGATCCTCCTAACTGCTGTTTTGCTCTCCCTAGCCCCCATCTCACAGGAAATGATTCTTTCTCTAAACTCTGACACTGCTGAAGAGCTCTTCAGCTCTGAACACATTATTTTACCATTCACAGGCCTTTGAACTGTTGCTTTTAAATGTGGCTGTTGAATTAATGAATAATTTTGCCAGGTGTTAGAGCACATGAAGGGAATACCAGCCATATGCTTTGGTTGATCTGTGTTCATTTTTACATTACAAGATGTTTATTATGGTAAGATAAAAGGTCTGGCTCATTCCCATACCTTTAATATGAAATTCAAATAATGAAGACAGAGTTAGTAAA